GGGGGGGGGGGCTTGGGGGCATGGTTGAGCTGTTTTTTTCGCCCCTTTTACATTGCCGGCGGAAAAAAGGGCTCATGGGGGGGCATTCGGGGGCGGCTGGAGATGCTCTAGCACCTCAATCAAATGGGAGGACTCTAAAATTAAAGAGTGTAGAGTATTAAAAATTAAACACCTTACTTGAGTGGGAGTGCTCCTTGAAACATTGTTGGCCACCGATTCAAAATTGGGAACCAATAAACACCTACTTCTGTCGGGGATATGCCCGCGGTGTGACCCGGCTGGAGATATGACCCGGCTGGGACTTGATGTTTCATTGGTGACCCGGCAGACTATAAGCCAGCGGAAACAATTAAGCAGGTTCAGCCGGCAGACACAGTCAAGCATTGTAAGCCGGCAGACACAGTCATGTAAGTCGGACAGTTAAGTTAGACAGTTAAGCCAGATTGTAAGCCAGATTGTAAGCCGGATTGTAAACCGACTTACGTTAAGAAGCCCAAGACGTTAAGAAGCCCATGGTAAGATGTCAAAATAGGTTAAGTCCTAATCCGTGTTTGACTCTACATGTAACCCGCCCCTTCATCTTATATAAGGAGGGGCGGGGCACCCCAAGAGGGGGGCAAGAAAATAATCGTTAAGGCTAGACACAACTAGAGGAGAGCCGAATTTACGGTGTCTCCCTCATGAGCATAATGAGACCTAACCACAAACAACATGTAGGGCTATTACCGGATGATGTTTCCCGGGGCCCGAAGCTGTCTAAACCCTTGTCTTGTGTGTTGCGTCTCTCGTCCCGATCAACCCCTCTCAAGTTACCACATAGATGCGTTGGCCTCACGACTAAGTCCTTACATTAGGACATCTGCCGTGACGATTCCACGACAGTTGGCGCCCACCATGGGGCCTGCGCACGGTGGTGATGAGTTCTTGAAGGGATCTCTCCCAGGGATCGAGAAGTTCACAAATTTTTCAGATTTGAGTTCAAGAGAAAATTAGGGTTGCGTGTTGTGATGCAGAAGAACGTGACCCGGCGATCCATCGAGTTTGAAGACAAATCAATATCTGTTACTGTGGCCATGTGAGCCAAGTAAAAAATCTATTCTGGCGGGCCTCCGGTGTCCTGTGCTTGAATAGCAAACTACCACGACCCAGGTGTTGATTGTCCAAAGACCACTACAAATCTGCAACCTGCATAAGGATAACCTTCGCTGGCTACTATCGTGTGTCGCCGAAAACAGTCAGAGGATGGCACTCCGGGTCAAAGTCAAATCCATCAAAATAATTTCCCTGGAGCAGTACTTGCAGGGTTACCGCGTGGAAAGGCAAAACAACTGCAGCAGATATGAGATTGAGATATAGGCAGCGATCTGCGCCGGCGCACCGGCCCAACTGTTGGGCCGGTCGACGCCCATCCATCTGATGCGGTTTGCATTGACCGTCAGATCTGCGCGCATACCTGTACCGAAGCAATCGTTGCAACAAAAAAAGAACAGGTTTGTTGCGACCGTGTACTAACAACCACAACAAGGAAAACAGGGGAGCTAGATCCCCCGCGTCTGCCCGTCCCCGATCCGCGGTGGCGGCGGCTAGATCCGCCTGTTTTTCGTTCCCCGTGGCTGAATCACGTCGAGGAGGGGCTCCCCCACCTATCAAGTGGCCTTGGGATTGCTTCAATCATGTCTTACATACGTCACGACCTCCTTGCCGCCATGGATTTGGGCTTGAGCTCCGCTGTCGTTCATGGCCGGAGTCCCCTGAGGCGGCAAGGCCCTGGTGGTAGTGGACCGGTGCTGCAACGGTACTACAACCCTGATGTGGTCTTCCAAGATGCAGCACGACATGGTCGGGATGAAATTGATCTGGTATGAATTCCAATTGCAAATCCTCCTTTTGTTCACAAAAAATGTTGCAACCTTTGATTTCAATTGATGAGCGTGAGATTAAAAAGAGATGTTCTCAACATACTTGTGTTTGATTTTTGTGTAATGTTTCTGAGATGTTGTCAATTAATGCTAGCATTTTCCTGTTGTCTACTAGTAAAATGTTACAATTATGTGTTGCACTTGCTACATGCTACTTGCTGGATGTTGCATGCTACATCCTAAAATGTTGCATGCAGGAATTGTTTTGGAATTGTGATTGACATGCTACATCCACTTTCTTTGTTCGCGCTTTTTGCATGTTTTTCACGCAGAAAAAAAATGACTTGGGTGCTGATTTTGTTGCAGAATGTTGTTGTGGAGCCATCGATTTTCCTTGATGATGATATGAAAAATGTTGCGCACGAAGAAGAAGATGATGGCATTGATCTAAATGATACTCCGGGAAATGATAGTGACGATTCGTTGCAGCTAAACACGGATGGTGTAGCTCCAAATCATGGCAATGCCCGTGTGGCTAGTGATAATGCCAATGGAAATGCTGCAACACTTGTTAACAAACCAGATGAAGATATATCATCATAGCCAGTTGTCCCTTTTGTTGGAATGGTTTTTGACAATGTTGAAGAAGCTCAGCGTGTTTACAATGAATATGCCTCAAAGATGGGCTTTGGAACTCACATTGTGACATCAAAGCATAGTAGGAAAAATAGCTCGGAGCAGAAGAGCATTCTAATCTATAGAGTTTTTGAGTGCATACACTCATGGAAAAATCCTTCGAAGAATGTTGGTGGTAGCATTTCTGATGAGGCTGCAACAAATCAGTGTGATGATGTTGATATGAGCTATGCTAGTAACAAAAAATCTCCAAGCAAACAAGTTGGCATCTATATGGATGTGAGCGACAAGAGGCGAAGAAACCGGTTGGAGCGGTATGATTGCAAGGCTCATATGGGTGTTAACCTCAAAGACGGTAGCTGGGTTGTGACAGTTTTTGAGGCCGATCACACACACCAGCTGATGTTGCAAAGGGGGCGTCGAAGATTTTGCCGCTCTCACAGAAAGATCCCGGATGCAGACATGTAGTACATCACATTGCTGCACTATCGCAACATATCAATGGCTAATATGATGGGCTTGCTTGGAGATGCACGGTGTTGCGATCCAAGGAGCTTGCCATATGTGAAGACTGATGTGACAAATCCAAGAGCAAAGCTGCGAAGGGGCCTATCAGAGGGTGATTTGGAGCTGACAATCGAGTACTTTGAGAGAAGACAAGTGGAGAATCCCAACTTTTTTTTCTCGAAGCTAGAAGAAGATGGAGCTGTTAGGGCGCTTTTCTGGGTTGATGGGAGAGCAAGGGCCTTGTATCCAAAGTACAAAGATTGTGTGTTTTTCGACACCACATTCTGCACAAATTGCTACAACTTGCCCTTTGCTCCGATTGTTGGCATTAACAACCACACACACACTGTTTGCTTGGGGTGTGCTTTCTTGCCTGATGAGACCATCGAAACTTGAAGGAAATATGCCCTAGAGGCAATAATAAAGTTATTATTTATTTCCTCCTATCATGATAAATGTTTATTATTCATGCTAGAATTGTATTAACCGGAAACATGATACATGTGTGAATACATAGACAAACATAGTGTCACTAGTATGCCTCTACTTGACTAGCTCATTGATCAAAGATGGTTATGTTTCCTGACCATAGACATGTGTTGTCATTTGATTAATGGGATCACATCATTAGGAGAATGATGTGATTGACTTGACCCATTCTGTTAGCTTAGCACTTGATCGTTTAGTATGTTGCTATTGCTTTCTTCATGACTTATACAAAGTTCCTACAATTATGAGATTGTGCAACTCCCGTTTACCAGAGGAACACTTTGTGTGCTACCAAACGTCACAACGTAACTGGGTGATTATAAAGGTGCTCTACAGGTTTCTCCAAAGGTACATGTTGAGTTGGCATAATTCGAGATTAGGTTTTGTCACTCCGATTGTCGGAGAGGTATCTCTGGGCCCTCTCGGTAATACTCATCACTTAAGCCTTGCAAGCATTGTAACTAATGAGTTAGTTATGAAATGATGTATTACGGAACGAGTAAAGAGACTTGCCGGTAACGAGATTGAACTAGGTATTGGATACCGACGATCGAATCTCGGGCAAGTAACATACCGATGACAAAGGGAGCAACGTATGTTGTTATGCGGTTTGACCGATAAAGATCTTCGTAGAATATGTAGGAACCAATATGAACATCCAGGTTCCACTATTGGTTATTGACTGAGAATAGTTCTAGGTCATGTCTACATAGTTCTCGAACCCGTAGGGTCTGCACGCTTAACGTTACGATGATAGTTTTATTATGATTTTATAAGTTTTGATGTACCGAAGTTTGTTCGGAGTCCCGGATGTGATCACGGACATGACGAGGAGTCTCGAAATGGTCGAGACATAAAGATTGATATATTGGACGACTATATTCGGACACCGGAAGTGTTCCGGGTGATTTCGGAGAAAACCGGAGTGCCGGAGGGTTACCGGAACCCCCCGGGAGAAGTTAATGGGCCACATGGGCCTTAGTGGAAAGAGAGAGGGGTGGCCAGGGTGGGCCACGCGCCCCCTCTCCCTCTGATCCGAATTGGACTAAGAGGGGGGGGGGGCGGTGCCCCCCTCTTTCCTTCCCCCTCTCCCCCTTCCTTTCCCCCTCCTAGTAGGAGTAGGAAAGGGGGAGTCCTACTCCTACTAGGAGGAGGACTCCTCCTCCTTGGCGCGCCCACAAGGGCCGGCCGGCCTCCCGCCTTGCTCCTTTATATATGGGGGCAGGGGGCACCCTAGAGACACAAAAGTTGATCTACGGATCGTTCCTTAGCCGTGTGCGGTGCCCCCTCCACCATATTCCACCTCGGTCATACCGTCGCGGAGTTTAGGCGAAGCCCTGCGCCGGTAGAACATCATCATCATCACCACACCGTCGTGCTGACGGAACTCATCCCCGATGCTTTGCCGGATTGGAGCCCGGGGAACGTCATCGAGCTGGACGTGTGCTGAACACGGAGGTGCCGTACGTTCGGTGCTTGGATCGGTTGGATCGTGAAGACGTACGACTACATCAACCGCATTGTCATAACGCTTCCGCTTAACGGTCTACGAGGGTACGTAGACAACACTCTCCCCTCTCGTTGCTATGCCATCACCATGATCTTGCGTGTGCGTAGGAATTTTTTTGAAATTACTACGTTCCCCAACAGTGGCATCTGAGCCTAGGTTTTATGCGTTGATGTTATATGCACGAGTAGAACACAAGTGAGTTGTGGGCGATACAAGTCATACTGCTTACCAGCATGTCATACTTTTGTTCGGCGGTATTGTTGGATGAAGCGGCCCGGACCGACATTACGCGTACGCTTACGCGAGACTGGTTCTACCGACGTGCTTTGCACACAGGTGGCTGGCGGGTGTCAGTTTCTCCAACTTTAGTTGAACCGAGTGTGGCTACGCCCGGTCCTTGCGAAGGTTAAAACATCACTAACTTGACGAACTATCGTTGTGGTTTTGATGCGTAGGTAAGAACGGTTCTTGCTAAGCCCGTAGCAGCCACGTAAAACTTGCAACAACAAAGTAGAGGACGTTTAACTTGTTTTTGCAGGGCATGTTGTGATATGATATGGTCAATACGTGATGCTATATTTATTGTATGAGATGATCATGTTTTGTAACCGAAGTTATCGGCAACTGGCAGGAGCCATATGGTTGTCACTTTATTGTATGAAATGCAAACGCCCTGTAATTGCTTTACTTTATCACTAAGCGGTAGCGATAGTCGTAGAAGCAATAGATGCCAAGCAATGGTTTGCTAGGAAGGGTGTTAAAGGTTAGAGGTTCATGGCAATTTGGGAGGCTTGAAGAGCAAATGGTAGGTAACGCAGCATAACGATAGAACGAAGCAACTAGCATAGCAATGATAGTAGTGAGATCCAGGGTAGCGGTCATCTTGCCTGAAATCCCGCAAGGAAGAAGAACGAGTCCATGAAGAAGACGAACGGATGAATCCACGAGGACGAACCAAGCGTAGATGTCATGGAATTGTCACGGCAGATGTCCTTAGTGTGAGGACTTAGTCGCGAGGCCAACACATCTATGTGGTAGCTTGAGAGGGGTTGAGCGGAATCGAGAGACGCAACCCAAGACAGGGATTTAGACAGCTTCGGGCCCCGGGAAACATCATCCGGTAAAAACCCTACATGCTGTTTGAGGCTAGGTCTCATTATCATCACGAGGGAGTCGCCGTAAACCGGTTCTCCTCTTTGTGTCTAGCCTAGAGATTATTGATTGTTGTCTATCCCTCTTTGGGGAGCCTTGCCCCTCCTTATATATGTTGAAGGGGCGAGTTACATGTGGAGTCCTATTAGGATTAGGACTAGTCTATCTCTAATACAAACCGGATACAAGTCCTGGTCTTAACTCTTTGTAAGGTAAATATTCCTTTCCTCTTAAACTGGCCCACCATAATATGAACCGGCCTTCATGAACCGCCAGACGGGCCACCGGGTCTTGTCGCTCCTCTGGCCCGCCTACCGGATTACCATTGAACTGTAAACCGTCTGGTCTGTGCAGGTCACCGGTGAATCGCCAAGTCCGGCCGGCTTATCCTTCCAGCCGGTTTACGCCGCGGGGCATATCCCCGACATTAGCCCCCAAGTTTAGCTTGGATTTATCCATGGTAAACTCATGCTGCAAAAATAAACACAAGAACAAATTTGACAGGTTGTGCTCTGGATTAAGAATTCTTGTAAACCGGCACCTGATCGTCCTTAAGTCCTTGTCATTCCTCCTTCTAGAAAATCCGGGTTAATAACCAGCTTCATACTCAAATTGCTGATGTTGGTTTCTTATAGAAAAAATATTGTGAAGAATAATCCACTTGAGTCGGCTTCCAAAGCGCCGGTTTAAGAAATATTGGTCGTTGAAATACTCATCTGATATTCAACCGGTTTGAAGATGTAAAAACTTGCCGGTTTAACATTACCAAAATGGCCGGGTTATAAAACTGATGATTCCGGATTATCACCGTTTATAGACGCCGGGTTATGATTGTTGATGATGTCGGGTTGCAGCCACAGGGTCGTAATGATTAATTGGTGACACCGGGTCAATCTGGTTTGCTCAAAACTGAGAATTTGAAAATATTTCTCCTTATATGCATATTACCTGTAGCCCCCAAGTCTTGAGCAGAACAAAGTGATGGTTTAAGACTTGCTTCAATATGAATACTGCCTCGGATGAAGAAATCCCTGTTGTTCATCCCAGTCACGAATAAAAACTGAACACTCCATATTATGTAGCCCCCAAGTGTCGGGTTGTCATGCTTGTAGCAACCTGGGACTTGTAATTGCTTGATGCTCAAAAAACTTCAACCAGTGTAGCCCCCAAGGGCCGGGTCATTATGCAATAATGAGCAGGGACTTTTGAAAATATGATCATGTAGAATGTAATAGCAACGTGTAACCCTCAAGGGCCGGCTCAATAAGATAATTATTGAGCTGGGACTTTATATATACTTCAATGAAAA